CAAAAAAATAATGGAAATACAATTCTTAACACTTAAAAAAACACTTCCTGTTAAATGTGTATTCAAATACTCATTCAAAATTTCGGGAATTAGCACTGTATTTAATTTGTATTATTAATAGTTAAAAACCATTTACATGTTATAAATTAAATTTAAGCTTTTATTGATCTTTTAAACAACTAAATATAATAAACGATTTTGTGTTTTTAAATTCACAATTACAGAAAGAGTACAAAATTAGTTATCAAACTAAAAAAATACAATTAATTGAAATCATTTATAGTAAACTTTGACAACGATCACAAATATCAACAAAAAAGTATTTTGAATGAATCGAACAAACACTTTTTAAGCAATTAAAACACCATTTTGTTGTATAAGTATCGTTTTTGTTTTCTACACAAATATAACATCTTCCTTTTCTTAATCTTCTTTCAATATTTTTCAACAGTGTAATTTCCAATTTTACGAATATTATTTTTTCCTGTTGTTAATCGTATCGTTTTTAAAGGAGATGTTGCACATTTCAAAAATTGAAAAGCCAAATTTGTTACGAAAGTGTTATGTTGACAATTTGGGTGTTTTAAACGAAACAATATAAATAAATTTGTTGTCGCATAATTGATAAGATCATAAAGACAAGCCAAAGGGAATCTATTGCTTCTTCTTCTCATGTCACAATAATGGATCAGTTGATCATACTTATCAACGCCCGCTTTATGTTTGTTGTACATAATAACCATCTCTGGTTTTTTCTTTTCACTTTTCTCATTTTTAAATTCAGTCGAAAAATTACAAATCAGTTTGACTGATTTATCCTTTTTGCATTGATATTTAACCATAGTTTTAGTTCCACAAGAAAAGTTTTAAGATGAATACAACTCTTCTTTTATATCATCATCCCAGCCCAGAGGTGTAAATGTTCTACCTTTTTTACTGTTCCTAAAAAATAATTTCCTGAAGATTCTATATAATCTAGAATTTATGAAGTTGTGTATAAATTGTCTAAAACGACAATTTTACGAGCTCCCAAACTATTTTTTAATAAAAATTTAACGGTTTTTAAAAGATTGTTTTCACTGGGACTTTCAGCCTGTTTTCTTGGTTTTGTAATATTTTTCCTGTTATTAGAAAGTTTTGATTTTTTTCGTGATTTTCAACAAGAATTTTTGCTTGTTCAATATCCTCTGGTAAAGAAGAAAAAAATCAAGTTCATTTTGTATAGTTTGTAAATTCATTTTATAAACGGTTTTTCAAAAGTCGGTACTGAGGTGTCCCGATTTTTTGCATTTATTTTGTTTGTTATTTTTGGGAATCGTTTTTTGTAATAAATTCGCTTATTTTTTCCAAGTAAAAAAGAGAAAAACGGTCTTCAAAAAATATTTTTTTACTTGAAGAATTTTTAAGCATTAAAAAATTCCATATAAAATTTGAAATAACGGGATTTTTGTTCTTGAAATACACGTGAATTATCCCAAAAGTGCATTTTAGTACAAAAGCAAATAAACTTAATTTCAATCTTTTTTATTATCAAACATTTTATTAATTAATGAAATATTCACAAAACAAAAGCTTAGTTCGAAGATTAGTATGCTTAGTAGTGTTGTCACAAAAACAATACAAATAACAAAATGATTTGATAATTTATTTTTGTTGGGTTTTATAAAGTCGACATTCTTTTTGAGCATTTCAGTGAGAACATCTTTTTTAAAATATCCAATAACAAAACAATATTGTTATTTTGTATTATTTTTCAAGTGTTGCCCTTTGACAATTTTGACTTATGCCTGTCAAAATTATCAAACATTTGCTGTAATTTTTGGTGTTTTTGGAACTCTTTATTTCATTATTTTTTATTCAGAGAAGATAACCACATGTTTGTTTTTAATTGAAAATATTATTTAACGAAAGTAATTATCAGTTAAAACTCGACACAAACAACACCATCCCAATTCACTTAAACGTTAATTGTTGTGCTTTTAGGTCAACAATGCTGTGTATATGTTGCGAAGTTTCGAGTTATGGTCAAATCAAATAACGGGATCAGGTTTTTTGGAAAAAAGATGGCTAATATTCCGATATTTTCCCGAATTTGTACGAAAATAATTGAACGGTATTGGTATTTTTTTCAAAATGAAGTCAGTACTTTCTATTTTTTGTTTTTTTATTTTTTAGGAAA